CCCCAGGATATTCCCCATCCCTTTAATACCCAGCACACTCAATGGGCAAGGGGGAAGATATGGGTCTGGAGGGGATAGTGTGGGGAGGGAGCAGGGAGCTGCAGGATCTGCTCAGGGTGGATGTGCCCCCACTCCCCAGCCCTCTCCCCGCGAGAACGAGCCCTCCATACCGCGCTTCTCCTCGCTGCCGTCCTCCCTCGCTCCGGGCCCCAGCAGCTTTCAGCAACTTCCAGCTGGCCCTGGTCCCCCTTTTATCTCCTGACCACTCTCCCCGCCCAGAAGGGAGGAGAAGAGCCTGGCTGGAGCGGGGACTGCGCCCCGGCCACCCCCGCCTGCCTCGAGGGGACAGCGACAAGGCAGGCACTGTCCCGGTCGGTGCCATGTGGCCTCGGGGTGCTGCTGCCGCAGCCCAGCCCAAGCCGTGCCGGAGCAAAGCGGTGCCTGGTGCCGGGCTGACGCCGCAGGGTGACAGGCGGTGCTGCACGAAGAGATGGACACAGCGGCTCCAAACCTCGCAGGCACAGCAGGGCCGGGGGACGTTGCCAAGGACATTGCTTACCCCAAAGGGTTGCACCACCACGGTGGGGTGACCTCCAACAGTGCCATGCCTGCACAGGTGCCACAGGAGCCGACAGTGCCATCTCGGCTACGCTGCAGGCAAAAAGATGGTGCCTCCCATACACACCGGGGTGCTGGAGCTCCCTGCCCTGTGGGGTGTCACCTCAAAAGCCGGGCTGTTCTGTTGTGCCCATGGCCGTTCTCAGGCCAAGCGTGGCCCCACAGCAACTCCCCAGTGTCCAGTTCCATGCCTCCTGTCCGGCCCCACACTGGTGGGGCTGTGGTAGTGTCGGTGCTTCCTTGGGAAATCACAGCGACACTGGATTCCACCCCCCAACCAAACAAGAAGAGCTCACCACTCTGGCAGCACAAGGACATCTCTGCAAATATTTGAGCAGTTTATTGTACCTGGGATCCGTACAAAAACATGATAAGGCGGGGAAGGGCAAGCAGCCATAGTCACAGCGGGGGCAGAACATGATCCCAGGCACACACAGAATGGGAATTCGTTTGAAAACAGCAGGGGGAGAGGGGATCGCTGCTGAGGGGCTTGAGGGGCCCAGCAGTGTCTGCAAGGATGTGGGGCCGCGGGCTGGGCTGGTGATGAGTCCCTCATGACTGACACCGGACTTTCCGCCGGGCTGTCACCCCCCACCCGCACGCTGTTCCCTCCAAGTCCCCACCGGGTACCCCAGCACTGAGCAGGGGCGCGTTTCCCCCGTTCATGTCCCGGGACTCGGGCTGGCAGGGAATGACCCTGCACAGACACGAGCTGTGCCCCGGGGAGCCCAGGCCACCGCCTGCCAGGCGCTTCCCTCTTCCCCTCGGCTAATCCCGAGCCGGGGTGCCTGCGGTTTTCAGCCTGGGCGGCTTTTCGCCCGCAAACCGCGGCACCCGCAGCGGGCAGCGCGTTCTCCGTGTGCCGGCCCCATCTCTGCCCGGGGCGATTTCCCCGCTCCCCCACCGGGAGCGCTCCCGCGGCCGGCCCGGGCCGTGCCGGCGCCGTGCCCGGCGCGCCGTGCCTGGTGCATGCCGGGGCGGAGCGAGCTGAACCGCCCCCGCGCCGGCGCTGCCCGGCGTCCCCTTCGCCCGCAGCCTTGACCCCGGTGAGCCGCAGCCCGAGGGCGAGCGGGGTCCGCGGGCACGGAGGTGGCGGGGCGGGCGCGGGGAGCGGGGCCGGCGGGAGCGGAGCGGGGATCGTGCCGGTGCCGCGGTGCGCAGCGGGAAGCAGGGCCGGAGGCAAGGAGCGCCGGCCCCTGCCCATGTGCTCGCCGGGCTCCACGCGGTCCCTCCGCTCTGGGCTGGTGGGAAGGAGCTGGGTACACACAGCCCCTTCAAGCGGGCAGGTGAAAGGGAATATTTCAGCAGGTGTGTGGCCCCCAGCCCACTGCACACCTGTGAGGACTGGCCAGAGCGGCTCGTGCATGCCATGGGGTCTGGAAGCCTCAGTGGGTGCTCTGGAGAGGTGATTCCGATGGGGGTTTTGGGCAGATCTTTTTTCCCCCTTGAGCATCACAGGTATTTGGATGGATGGGGAGGAAGGTCACTTTCCCGAAGTGTCCCTCCTCTGTGCCCCTAGGGCAAGGTCATTGTTCCCGGACTGTTGCAGAGAGCGTGGTGGCTCCACGCTGTCCTTGTTGGGGAGGGGAAGGGCACATCAGCCTGTCACGACCCCAGTGCTCCCCTCCACTGGAGGGACACACCTGACAGGCGCTGGGGCAGCACAGGAGCGCTTTAGCTGTAACCAGTGTGTTGCTCCATATTTACCAGTCTATGTTCCTGGTACAGGACATTCCCACCATAACCCTTGTCCCCATAATCTTGATTACACGTGCAGCACACCTCCTCCACTGGGAATCCCTGCTGACCTCCCTGCGGCACTCCCAAAGGACACATGGCTCCAGAGGGGACCCGCAGGGCTGCACCCAGGGCTTGGGGCTTTCCTGCTCTGGGACCTCAAGCATGGGGCAGGGCAGCAGAGTGGAAGGCTGGCAGGAAGGCTTGGCATCCTTGGGCAGCTCTTTGTAGCTGGTCCTGAAGGTGGGTGGCCTTTCACAGTGCAAATTGGCTCCTGAGACCCACTTATTTAAAAGCACACATTTAAAAGGTGTGAGTTTACACACACATGCATCTGTGCTTGCAAACACAGATGGGCTCTGTGCAAGGTGGGGGGAATGGCTTTTCCCCAGGGCCAGCAGCCCCCCTGACCCCCTGCGTCCTCCCTGCAGCCATGGCAGCCTTGCTGAGCCGCCCCTGCTTCATCTCCCTCCACCTGCCCTACAGGCAGGGCTGGGGCCAGCACCTGGCCAACACCTTTCGCTTCCAGCCAGTGGCCGTGCGGGAGACGCCGCGTGTCCGGCAGCTGGCCTTGCAACGGGAATCTGCCATCTTCCTCGTCAACGAGCGCCTGACACCTGCCAGCACCTCATCCCGTGACTTCCTCTATGATGTAGATCCCCAGCCCACCTTGGGCACGGCCTCCAACGTCTGCTTTGAGGTGGATGATGTGCCGGGGCTCTGCAAGTGGCTGCAGAGCCAGGGATGCTCCTTGCTGGTGCCCCCCACTGAGCTGAGTGATGACGCTGGTTCTGTCACCTACGGCGTGGTGAGCTCTGTCGTGGGCAACATCAGCCACACCCTTTTGGACCGATCCTGTTACCGGGGTCTCTTCCTGCCTGGCTTCCAGCCCATCCAAGGAGCCCCCTCAGCCACAGGGGATGGGATCAAGATCACTCACTTTGACCACATCACGTATGTCTGCCCCCGGGGCGGGGCCCGGGCGGCTCTGGACTGGTACCAGCGCTGCTTCGGCTTCCACCGCTTCCTGCTGAACCCCCAGGAAAGGCCGGCTGAGGGGTATGTGCTGGGGGGGCAAGGGGTGGGCATGCTGCTCCTCGCACTGCAGAGTGCCCAGGGCACCCCAGCCCACGGCTGCAAGCTGGTCTTTGCCGAGTCCCTCTCCCAGAGTGGCACCAACCAGGTTGACACGTTCCTGGAGCAGCACGGCGGGGCTGGGATCCAGCATGTTGGCCTCTGCACCACTGACATTGTCAGCACGACCAGGGCTCTGCAGCAGCGGGGGGCACGGTTCTTCACACCCCCCACCATGTATTACAGCCAGGGGGGCAAAGCGGAGGAGATCCGAGGAGCTGGGCAGGACCCCCGTGTGCTGGCAGAGCTTGGCATCCTCCTGGACACCACAGTGCATGGGGACAAGGGCTGGCCAGGCTCTGATGCCACAGAGAGCCCCTCTGGAGAATATTTGATGCAGATCTTCACCCATCCCATCTTCTCCGAGGAGACCTTCTTCCTGGAGCTCATTGACCGTCGGGGAGCGCCCGGCTTTGGGGAAGGCAATATCCGGGCGCTGTGGAAAGCTGTGCAGGTCTACATGGACCAGCAGCAGTAGTGCAACGCTGCAGTCCCCCTCCCTCAGCTCCCCATCTTCTCCAGTCCAACCCTGGGGCAAGGACCGTAGAGATCCCATCCCTGGCATGGCCCAGGTGAGCAGGGACCAAGGGTTGGCTCCAGATCAATCCAGAGCCAACTCAGTGTGGGAACAAGATGCTCAGGGCCGAGTCCAGCAGGGGTGCGAGCATGCCCCAGGATGGGTGGGATTGCTCCCCTGCCCTGCATTCCCAGTAATTTATCAACCACACATAAAGAACTTTCTGCCTTAGTTTCAGCTTAATTTATTGAGACATGAGCCTAGAGCATGGCCAAGAGTGTGCTGGCACAGAAACACCCCCAGACACAGAGATGAGGGGCTGCCTGAGGGGAGTGGATAATCCAGAGGCCATGGATTATGGCCACTTACTGGCAGCTACCACCCACAGCATGACCAGCCCTGCGGGGCGAGTGGTGGCCTCTTCCTCCTCTCAATTAAAGAATTAACTTACAGGCACTGCTTTGGGTTTTTAATCCTCCTGTTTAAGACGTGCTGAGTGCCAGGTAAGGATGAAATGGCCATTTCCATCACTCAAAGTGGGCATATCACTAAAATTGAGATCGCTGCACCTTGCACCCCGCCAGGACTGTCCTCTGTCCCTGCCAGCCCCCAGCACTGTGCATTTGCAAGGGTGCACCACACTCAGCATGAAGAGTGCTGAGCAGCCCAACAGAAAAATTATAAAAGGAGGATGAAACCCTACAAAAAGCCCTGGAGGCAGTTGTTCAGCCCCAGGGAGGAGCAGCCTGTGGGCAGGAGCAGCACAGTCCTTGGGGGCTGATATCTGCCCTTGCAGGAGGGGTGTTCTGGGTGCTTTATTTGGGGTCACCAGCAGTTAATGCTCAGCCAAGGGGCTCTTGGGTCCATTAGTGAAGAAATCTGTGCTCTCCCCAGCCCAGATCTAAGGGTCTTGTTGGCTATCTTCAAATTCTACTACAGGCTGCTCAACACTCCCAGCTTAGCACAGTGCAACACAGGCAGTCACTTAAAAAACCCCACGCACTTAAAATTTATTTTCAGGTCCAGTAAAAACAAGGGAGGGTACAGCAGCAGCCCCAGTCACTGGCTGGGGCATGAGATGCAGGCAGGGGACAGGGCTGCAGGAGCCATGTGGCTCCCACTGCTGCAGAGAAACCCCTGCTGCCCTGAGTCCCCAGTGCCAAAGTGGTGGCAGTATGGGGCTGAGTAGCACCAGGAGGGCTCCATCCAAGGAGGGAGGGCAAGTCTGGCTCCAGGATTAAACCAGGACCAGTGGCACCAGGCACAATGCCCACGGGGGAGGCAGGGGAAAGGAAGAGTGAGAAACCATTGTAGTGCCATGTCCTGGGCTTGCTACAGCACAGGGACAGCACTGCCAGGCCCTGGGCAGGACTGAGCCCAGTGAAGGCTCTGGTATCTCACACGAGGAAGGTCAGTGCCTCACGGGCCCGTCGGTGCCCGGAGAAAGGCGTGGATGGAGAGCTGTGTCCCAGGGCAGGGGCTGCCTGCTCCCTGTGCTTTTGCCCCCCGCTTCCGCTTGGAGCCCTGCAGGAGACACAGCAGGGCTCAACCAGACCCCAGGGGCCCCCACAGGCTCCAGGAATCCCCCCTGGGAACTGGGGACACCCAGGGGCAGTGCCAGTCAGGCAAGTTCCCCTGCCACAGGCTGGGGATGCTGCTTGGCCCAAACTCCAGGGCACCTTCAGCACAGCACACCAGAGGCTGTCCCACAGCACTGGAGCCCCAGGCACCCTGGAGCACTGCTCACCTTGACAGGGCTGCTCTCCTTCCTGCACTGCTTCTCATGAGCTTTCAGCACCTGAAGGAAGAACAAGAGAGTCCAGAGCTGAACAACAGCTGGGACAGCCCAGAGAAGCTGAGGGGATGCCAGGGGTTTTCTCAAGATAACTGAGGGAAGGGAGGAAAGGCCCAAGGACCCCCCATACCTTCTTCATGGCTGTGGACACGGCCGAGGTATGGAACTCATCCTCTGTCACCCAGCGGGATGGGGACAAGGCAGGGTCCAGGGTCACATCCCCATCTAGGTGCAGGGAGTAGACCACGTACGTCTGGTGGATGTGGGAGAAGACGTGGATGACCTGTGAGGGGATGGAAAGACACACGAGATGGGCAGCTGGCAGGCAATGGGGGATGCAAAATGCACTGAGCCTGCCAGGGTCCTGAGCAGTGGGGCAGAGCTTGGGAGGGCTGACAAGTGGGGAAGGGAGACCTTTCTTCTGTGTGCTACATCCCCATGGCTGAGCACAGGGGACTCGCTGCATCCCTCCAGCTCCAGGCTCACCTCTCCAATAAACTGCAGGCCTGCTGCTGCCACGGGCCGCCCTATCCAGGCCTGGAGGTGATCAGCCAGCTCCTCCCTCTCCTTCTCCTCCTGCAGATCTTGAGCCAGCAGGAGACTTGGGAACTCCCAGAGTCCAGCCAGGAGACCTGGGAAGGAGGCATGACAGAAATATGAGACAGCAAGGGACACGTCCAGGGACACTGAGCCTCATCACAGCCCCAAAGGGCTCCTTTCCCCACCCCAGCAACCAAAGCCGCTCTCTCTGTCCCTCATGAGGTGGGAAGGGGCTGTGTGGTGCCTTCATCCCCCCCCTTCCCAGCCCCATTACCTGAGCTGGGTCTCTGCACAATGAGGTATTCTGGGGCCCCGTGGCAGCCCCTCCGCTCCAGCACACACGTGGCCGTCCGCATCACCCGCGGCGGCTTCTTCGCTGCTTTCCGGGGAAAGTTGGTCACCCCCAGGCTGCTGTCCCACGGCTCCGTGGCTGGGGGGCACAGGGGACAGTCCCCAACACCTGCAAACACCAGTGTAACAGTTGCTGCAGGGCTCAGACCTGGAGCCACAACAGGGATCTCCCCTCATGCTTACCACAGTCCTCAACATCAGGCACTGGGGGGGCTTTTCCAAGCAGCTTCTGAGAGGCAAAGGCCAGCTCCTTCTCCACCTGCAAGGGTGGACAGAAGTGAGGAGAGGCTCATCTGCCAGCCCACCTTGTCCCCAGGCATGGCAAACCCTCGGGGCCACACTTACTCTGCGCCATGCTTGGCAGTGCTGCTTCACCGGGCACTCCCCACACAGTGGGGATTTGGGCACACACACAGTTGCCCCAAGCTCCATCAAGGCTTGGTTAAAATCCCCTGGGCGACTCCTGTCCACCAGGACATTGGCCATGTCCCTGGAGAAACAGCAGTGAGAGGCACAGGGATCTCTGGGGAGAGCATGCCAGGACCTTTGCCTGCCTCCTGCCTGTCGGGGGGAAGCTCCTAGGTGGGCACAGGCAACACAGCTCCTTTCACCACTGCTCCCAGCAGCACCAACTTCCCAAGAGTTCCCACACTCCACACCTGCCTCCCTTCACAGGCTCAGCTCCCCAAGGCTCCTGGGTGATCCTGCCTTTAAGCCACAATCAGCACAGCTCCAGAGACAGAGCATTTCCCTTACCAGAGCCGGTCGATGACAGCCGGGCTGCTGGAGTCGGCACCAACGCATCGCAGGCGGCACAGGACCCGGATCACATTCCCATCCACAACTCCTGTAGCCTGGCACCAGGAGCTGGCATTACCATGCTGGGAGGTGCTCCAGACAAAGAAGGGAGCTGGGATGCTTCCAGGATGGAGAGCGACACACACGAGGCCAACCCACAGGTCAAGCTGGGTGGGGGCTGTGATGCATCCCAAAGTTGGGGGAGAGCCAAGCACAACCCTGGGGAGCCTTTGGCTTGTGAGACCCAGCAGCAGGAGCTGTCAGGAGTGGGGCTGGGCAGGCGAGGGGGAGACGTGCCCACTGTCACCAGCTCTCACCTGTCCGTAGGAGATGGATGCAATGGCTCCCGCCGTGTATCGGCCCACGCCCGGCAGCAGCTTCTGCAGGTCCTCGGCCGTCCTGGGCATCCGGCCAGCCAGCTCAGACACCACCTGGCAGGGAAGGGGCCAAGCTCAGAGAAGCAGCTGGGGTGGTGTGTGCAAGGAACCCATTCTGCCCATGGGAAGATGGGATCCCAGCCTCTGCAGCCTTGTGCCAGCAGCACAGCCCCAGTGAGGCAGGGCAGACATGAGCCAGCACCAGCCCAGCAGCCACAGAGGGCTTCAGAAATGCCCCTTCCCCCCAACTCCAGCACCTTCCTTGCTGCTTCCTGCAGACGCTTCCCTCTGGAGTAGTAGCCAAGCCCAGCCCAGAGCTCGTTCACCTCCTGCTCCCAGAGACACAGCACAGTGTTAATGGAGGGCCACAGGGCAGGGAGAGCACCCGGTCCCAGCGATGCTCACCTCCAGGGACGCCTGTGCCAGAGCCTGCAGCGTTGGCCACTTCTGCAGGATAGGGGGAAAGGGACAAGTCAGGGACAAGCAGAGTTCTGCCACTGGGCATCTGCCACAGGCAGTGAACAAGGTCTCCAACAGGGGCAGCCTGTGGGCACAGGACAGTGCAAGGAGCAGTCACCTGCATCCAGCGGGTGTAGTAGTCGATCACCGTAGCCACCTGTGTCTGCTGGAGCATGATCTCGGACACCCACACTGCAGGGAGCAGGGCAGGGGTCAGAGCAGAGGCACCAATCCACCCACACCTCGTGCTGTGGCCACGTTAGCACTGGCTACAAACCCTGCGCAGCATCCAGCGCATGGGACACCCTCCCACCCCGCAGGAGCTCCCCCAGGCCCAAGGTGGGTTCTCCAACCCCCCAGTGCTCTGCAAGGGGAATCACTGGCTCTCGTGGCCACCTCAGGCAGGATGGCACACAAAGCCACGCCTCACACAGCCAGTCCCTGCTCCTCACCTGCATATCCCCGTCTGTCGGCATCCGGCTCCGTCGCTGCCTGGAAGGGGAAGAAGATGAAGCGTGAGAAAGAAGGTGACACAGGACCCCACTGCAGAGGGGACCTGCGTGTAAAATACAACAATCCATGGTGTGTTCTGAACACTGCAATGGAATCTGAAATTTAAAAAAATATTTCCCCCAAGCACTCAGAAGTTCTGAGTTTGGGTTAATCAAGTGACAGCCAAAGCACCTTCTTGCTGATGAAATCTCACATGGAGAGTTACTTAGGAGGTTAAAAAATCCCACAGAGACCTATCCCATACCCGAGCCCGCCTGCATAGGAAGCAACTGAAGACAGATATAAATCCCACAGAGGAGCTGTGCAGATCCCACCATTCAGACTCTGCTGTAAAGCTGATGCCCATGCTCAGCACCACAATGACTCTCGAGCCACTGCTGCCAGGCTAAGCACACAACAGGCAGGAGCTCTAAAAAAACATCCAGCAGGCTTAAAACAAATACATGGGAAACCTTCTCCATGCAGCACTTGCTGCTTCAGGGTATCATAGAGGCAGGAACAAAACAGGATTAAAACACAGCTAGACTAACCTTGCCAGAGATAAGTACTCCTCTTGAAGGTTACATTTGAGAAGCGTGCCCTTCTTTTACTCTTCATACCTAGGACTGGCTCCAGACCCCCCACCACAACACAGCCATGACTAGCTGGGGGCACTTCCATGCATGACCGGTCACATCAGCCAGGCTCCCTAAGGCAGTGTAAGTAGTTCCCCATTCCCTCTTCCCGATGTCTCTCCTTACCAGAGCCCTCCAGGGAAGGTCCCGCTTGCATCGGTCGTACCAGGCGAGCAGATTCCGGCGCAGGGCCTGGACCTCAGCCGGGTCGCTGAAGAGATGCCGGGCGGGCGGCGGAGCGGGCGCTGCCGCCGGGGCACCTGCCGGGAGAGCGGCGCCAGGTCAGGGCACGGCGGGAGACGGCGAAGGGCTGCGGGGCTCAACCGCAGCAGAGGCGGGAGCCCGACCGAGCCGCTGCCGGGTGGACGTGCACCGAGTACCGGGCTTTACGGGGAGCCAGCAAGCACCGGAGACTGCCCGGGCTGGCGGTCCGTGCCCCGGAGAGAACACCCCACACTCCCCCAGCCCTCCCGCTGCCGGGCACCTCCGCGGGGCGACGCGCGCTTCCTGCTCCGCCCCTGGGGCGGGGCCGCGCTCCCGC